TTCCTTTTGCAACAGCTCTATCACTTTTGTTATCCCACTTTCGTTTCCAAGACGAATTAGACAACGAAGTACCCAATGGTTGCCTAGCTGTCCCCTTCTTCTTCAATTGTTTATCCACTTTCATGGTCACATGCAACATGTCTTCAAATTCCACATAATGCTGCAACTCCACAATATTAGCAATGTCTCTATTCAGCCAATTAAAGGAACGAGCCATGGTGGTTTCCCGATCTTCTTCCACATTCTTCATAATCATCAAAATTTCCATCTCTTTATGGTAGTCTTTCACACTCTTTGGCCCCTGATATAAACCTTGCAATTTTTGGTGCAACTCCTTGCAATAGTGACTAGGTATGAACCACTTCCTCATGATAGTTTTCAACTCATCCCAAATATTAACTGCTCACTCCCGATTCTTCCTCCTTGATATAACCACTTGATCCCACCAAGTTATAGCGTAGTTAACAAACTCAAGAAATGCAATTTTCATCTTCTTCTTCTCCGAATAATTATGGCAATCAAATATTAACTCTACCTTCTTCTCCCACTCTAGATAAGCCTCTGGATCACTCATTCTCTTAAACGATGGAATTGACATCTTAATATTGCTCATATTCCAATCCATTTCATCTCCAAAATGAATTATACCTCTTCTTTCAAACCTACCTCCTCTAATTCTCATTCTACCCATATCACCCACCATCGATACACCATCATCCATATCACTGGTAAATCCATAATCATCATACACATCCATCTTAGGCTCCCGCCTACCCGGTCTCTTTGCATTTGATTGTCCCCTATGAAGGTTTGCCACCGATGTATCTAACCTATCAAGCCTTTCACTCACATCGTCAAGCACCCGCTCAAACCGCCTTATTACATCATTTGTCATGTGGTTTTGATTCGGCTGCCTGTTTGAAATGGAACCCTCTTTATCTGACATCCTAATTCTATTTAATTTCCGCCTTACAAATGATCATTCGTGTATCACCCAATTATTGGCTTTTTTCCTCTATTAATCTCGCCACTCTGCCTTTTACCACCCAAATAGTTCAAAGAACAAGGTGAACTCAACCAATATTGTATTCCCATAGATCCACATAGTATTAATCACGAATTGTGACAGGAAAAAGAAAAGAAAAGATGAAAAACGACTCAAAAACACGAAAGAAGTAAAAGGATGAAGAATGAATTCAATGGACTATTCAAGAACGTAAAATTGAATAAATTTTGAATGATCCATTTTTTACCTCGAGAATTCAACTACAAATCTAGCAAAACAAAACGAAATTTGATTTGGACTTGTAATTAGTCGGAAAAATAACTGACTCTTTTTTTTTTGTAATTTTTTGGATCAAAACTCAAGAAATAAGACAGACCCGAAGAACGTGAAGAACAATGGAAAAAAACAAGACTCAAACAAGAAACAAAAGATATAATCTGATTATTTTGGAGCCTTACTCTGATACCAACTGATGAGAACCACGTAACAATGAACACTACGCAACCCACAATGAGATTGAAGATCCCAAGAAAGCCCAAAGAATAATCCTGATTTTGAGTTAAAACCAAAAATTAATTAACCAAGCAACCAAACAAAAACGAAGTTTGAATGGCATTTTGATTATACAACACGTGATCCGTACTTGGTGTTGAACGCCACAAGAATCCTCTTGATAAGTTCAGAATAATCTAAGAAGAACAATTCTTGAAAAACACAATAGCTTCTCGAATATATCTCAATAGTAAATTTGTTAATACGTTCTTACATTGAATAATGAAGTTTTATTTATACTAATGGCCATAAAACCTAGTAAAAACGTAATTAGGTTACACAATATTGTAAAATTGGAAAGAAAATAGAATTCGAGTCTAACAAGAAAATTCGCAACAAAATTAAAGTTTTCGCCAAATTGTTCTAGACATGTTTCTGTGCAATCGCAAGCCCAAAAGTATCATGCGCTTATGTAACATTGTGTAGAATTTCGTGCCATTTTCGGAATGTACACATGGGCAAAAATTCGACAACCAAGCTGAAAGTTATGTCTGTTTTCATCTATGCTGCTCATTTACTGCTTGAATTGAGTTGATCCATTTGGTTTCTTCTTCCGAACCCAACATGAAACTTGTTCATTGATTTGTTAACTTTGAAATTTCGTCCACCATAGCTTGAGCAAGCAATCTCATTGCCTCTTTCACCCGCTTTGCCTCGAACGTGCTATCGGGCCTCCTTCGATAATCAACGGATCCCATCCCGGACTTGTCCTCGTCAGGCTCGACTCCTGAATCATATCAGCACCCTTAATCAATTTCAAAATTCCATTTCCAATTTTACTGGTGAAATCAACTTTCTCAAGTCTTCCTACTGAAATTAAATTTCTAGACAATTTAGGGATATACCTAACATCTTTTAAAGTATGACAAAGCCAGTATCAAACTTTAAAGTAATATCACCAATGCCAACGACATTATAACCAGAATTGTCACACAATACAACATGCCCACCATTTGATTAATGCAAATTTTCAAACCAATCTTTTTTTGATGTTACGTGAAAAGATGCACTAGAATCAATTATCCATTCATGTAAATGAGAATTGGCAATAAATTCAATTCAGCAGGAGAAATAATTGGACTTGTAATCATATAGATCTCACCATCACAACTATCGAAAATAGACGACAATACATTTATCTCATCTCTATTTTTACCTTTTTGCTTATTCTTTTCTTTATAGCAATCCTTTATAAAATGTCCCGTATTCCCACAGCCATATCATTTCTTAACCTTGGTCCTAGATTTAGATCTAGGCCTACCATTGTTCTTCATTCTATCTCCATTACTACTAGACTCGCCACTACTTTGGTAACCATCATGAGTGTTTTGCCTAAATTGAGTTCTACCCCTCATTATGTAAATCTCACCGCTTTTTCTATCATGTTTTTTAGCTCTAATCTCCATCTCCTTACTTCTAAGGGAGTCAATGACAATTTTGGGCGTTAAATTGTCTTTACCATACTTAATAGCATTTTTTACTTCACTATAAGTATCAGGTATGTCATTCAACAAAATAGTAGCCTTATATGTTTCAGACACTGACTCTCCACAGTTAACAATATCTTGAACAAGTTTATTAAACACGTCTAAATTGTCATCAAAATCTTTTGAAAAATTCATTTTAAAACTGAAAAAACGTCCAAGTAAGTAAAACTTGTTTGTAGTAGATTTGAGCAAATACAAGTCTTCCAATTTTTTCCGAAGTTCTTTAGTGATTTTCAGTTTACCCACTTTTCTCAAAACTGTATCAGCGAAGTGTAAAATAATTGAGGTATAAGCAAGCTTATCTTTTTGTTTTTTTTGAAAAATCAGCAGGAAAATTTTCATCGATGGCTTTTTAAACCTTTGTTGAACTAAAATACCTCATTTTTTGTTGCCAGATTGAAAAATAACATTTTCCATTAAAAGTTCTCAAATCAAAATTATGCGTTGTCATTTTTAATAATCAATCAAAAAATACAAGGTCACAATTAAGTCACACAAAGAGACATAGATTCGCAAATATATACCATTTTAGATTCCTAGGGTTTCGTAAAATTTACGATCTTATATCAAGAGAATTTTCAAACGGGTAAGGTCTAGATATTCTAATAATTTAAGAGTATCTTAATAGTGCAACAAGAGATATGTCAACTAAATAGTTTCACTCACGATATATTACAAAAGATAATATGCTGCAATTTATCAAACGAACAATTTCAATCACGTAGTAACAAAGAGTATGTAATTCCTAATTTCTAGCATAGAAAAATGTTACCCCACACGGTAACCCCAATCTTATTGTCACCCCACAAGATGACACGCTAGTGCTGAAATTTAAACGAGATTAACCAATTTACCAAAGCGGACCTATTTGAGTCCATAAATTACGAGAGATGCGAATTTACTGTTTTAGAGCCGCGAATTTTTGGCCTAAAGTAATTCAGTAAATGTATAGCAATTGCGATCGTCAACCCACCAAGGGCAAAATCGTCTAAATTTTCTTGTGTAACTTGAAACACAAAAACAATAATAAGAGTATGTTCAAAATCAAAATAAGCAAACTGTCTGAAGAGAGCTCATCGAAATAAGCTTCTAGGCGGCGCCACTGGAGTCCACCACGCGCACCACTCCTGGTTGTGCCTCAGCCTGCAAAACACGAATATGGACTCAGATATTCCGGCCGATTACTGCTTTGGCCGAAATATGGAGATGCAGGTTCAGCCCCTTTGAAGAACCGTGAATTTCAGCAGTCTTCTTTGTCGATTTCTCACCGAAATTCACACCGACTAATGCTCTGATACCAACTGTTGAAGAAGGGACTCCAATCTCCAAATATTCGGGCTCAGTATTATTGAATCAACACCATAATCTGTCAACCAAACCACAAGCCAAATCACCCCCAACCGGTTTCTCTACAGTTGCCCACAAGGGGCTAAGTGTGAAAGGTTATTGTAGCCTCAAAAGTCAACCGCAAAGGCTAAGGCAGAAGGAGAAAACAGAGCACGGTAAAATACGAAGCTAAGAACGCAGTTTTCTCTCAAACATGGGGCTAACCAATTTCACACACACTGCACAACAGTAACAGGGCAGCATATATAAAGGGGGTTAGGTGTGGGCTTCTAGGTTAGAAAATAATAAGGCCCAAAATGGAGTATATAAGTAGGGTATCAACCATAAAAAGTCATCCAAGAGTTTTGTGTTGGGCCATGAGCAACGCTAATTTAATTAAACTATTTCAAATGGCCCAAATAAGTTATATGATTGGTTTAGACAATTGTAGAGTCGATATACAACTTCAATCATTTGGTCGATGCCGACTGAATAAACAATAACTTACATCATCGTTCAGAGAGGTCGTTTGACAACAATTTGCCTAACAAGAACAATTGGAACACAGTTGTGAAGGAGGATCTGTGCCTTTTATTCATTGGCCCTCCTTGATGAGTTATTTTCTTGATTGTATTCTCGAGCTGAATAGATATCAACGAGTGTATAGCTTTCAGATACTGATTATTTCATTCTTTCTGGAAACAAGCTTTAGATTGCTAAACGATCA